CCCCAAAACCCCAAAACCCCAAAACCCCAAAACCCCAGAAAACAGTAAGAATCAGATTAAAAGAGAAATAAAATTTAATCGTTAAATTTTTAGTATAAATTCGGTGGGAAACCTCCTCAATTAAAATTTAATTTAATATCTTTTTGTCAACGCCAGCCTTTGCACAAATGAAAAGAACTAGTATGATCCTCACTATTGCTGCTGTGGTCTCCATCAGTCAAGCTACCAGACTACAAACTAAGTCAACCACACAGCTCGCCCATCCCGCATATGATAAGCAGATTCTCGTTGAAACCGCTGCTGCAGTTCTGTTTGGAGGTGATGAACAACAATTTGCCCAAGCTGCAGATCAAGCACTCAACCAAATCGCTTTCGACTTCAATGCAATTAAGAATAAGTTGAAAGATAAAGCTTTGTAGGTTATTAAACAATAAGCCGCAAAGATATTGGGTGGAGGATAGTAAGCCGCTAAAGCTGCTCAACTAGATGAGGATGTTTCAAGATATATCTTGAGTGAAATTGCAGCAGGAAATCCATAGTTCATGTAAGCCTTTGCTGAAGTCTCAGTAAGCGGTACAGTTGCAGCTGAATCTCAATCAGGTGATCAATACTTTGATTGGCTTAGAAATCTTTTCTCAAAGAAACAACAAGCCGAAAACAAGAATGACAAGAAAGCTGCTCAAGAAGCACAGGAATAGATTGAGGCTGAAGTAGCCAACTACATCAGAGCTCAAGGTCAGTAAATATTTGAGGACTTGAACGGAAAGATTGTCAGAGCCTAATCAGTTATTGAGGTTGCAGAAGAAGGCAACAACGATGACGATGATGACGATGATGATGATGATGATGATTTCAATGATGCTCAAATTACTGAAGCAGTCCACAACTACATTCTTTCACAATCATTAGAACAGTCAACTTCAGAGTTTGATTCTTGGTATGCTCAACTTAGCACTGAGGACAGATCTTAATTCGAAAGCCTAAAGGATAAACTCAAAAGACAAATCCTCACGAAAATTGGTCAGTTAAAGCAAAATGGACTTGATAAATTGAAGGGTGCTATTGGAGAAAATGCTTATAATGCACTCTCAAAAATGGCCAAGCCTTTGATCGAAAAGTCACCAGTAGGAAATTTCGTCCATCAGATCGATAATGATGCTCATGGAGCTGACCAAAACAATCAAGCTAAAGCTCAAATGATTGCCGCTGAATCAATCTCTGCTGCTTTGATTAAAGTGAGAAACCAATGAGGATGGGATAACTTGTGTAATAAGTGATATCAGAATTCTCAATTTTGTGCAAATTTTATTTATCGTAATAAATTTTAAATCATCCAATATCTATTGAATTACTTTAAACTCTATGAAGTGGGGTTTTGGGGTTTTGGGGTTTTGGGGTTTTGGGG